CTTAATAATAAAAATAAATAATATGTTATGATAATTAATTTGTAGTAAATTAAGTTTATTGAGTTCATCTATCTTGATAAATTTTAAGTGTTAAATACTCACCTTTACCACCTTTTCAATTTAGAGATATTATCAAATACAAAATTTTAATTTTCATTCATCTTTAATCTCTCTTCCTACTAAAAATTGTTACTTCTTTTTAATATAAACACTTCTCCATTTCTTAACTGTTCATTCTCTATTATAGAGCTATTTCTCTTTAATATAAAACACTTATTTTTAACTTTTAATTTTTCTGAAGATTTTCATTGAAGTTATTATTTATTTTCTATAAAAAAATGTTTCAAAATAGAATAAGACAATGCATGAATGGAAAATAATCAAAATATAATAAATTCATATGATTTGATATACGCAAAGACATTGCATACATATCAGTTGAATCTATCGGATCGACATTTACAAAAGTATTTTATTTGGATAGCAACAATGTTGGCAAATATTTGAATAATTAAATGAGCACGATATTATTCATGTTGTATGTAAATATGCTGAAGTGTTGTCTATATTATAAAAAAAAATGTTTTTACCAATTCACTTATATGTAATTTACTAACTAATTAAAATTTATAAATTTAATTATAGAGAAAGTGACTAAAGACAAACCAGAAAAAGAACAACAATCTTTCAAAAATAGAAAATAAACTATTAAGAAAAGGAGAAGAGATTTATATTAAGGAAAAATATTTTTTTAGTGATAAGAGAGATTAACTATAAGAGAGAAATTGTGTTTTTTCAAGATATTTTAATTGAAAAAGTGAAAAAAATGATTATTTAATATTTATTAATCTGTGTAAAATTGCAAAGATCGACAAACTCCATTTAATTTTGTAAAAGTAAACTAACGTGCATATGAGTGGGACTATGAGAGAGAGTGAAATTCGGAAAGTGGGCCAGAAAACATGTTGATATTCGTGTGAGTTGGGGGACTTGGTAGTTGTTTGAGGCTTTGAACTTTCGATGATATAACATATATGCAAAACGAGTGTGTTGTTGTCGTTTTCTTTAAAAAATTAATATCAACTTTTATATTTAATATAAAATTATTCAACAATATAATATTTATTAAAAATTATATCGATATTATTATAATCTTTATATATATATATATATATATATTAAATATAAAAATGCGTAGAAAT